GGCGGAATATTGGCGCAGACTTCATTTGCAGTATTTCACCTGGGGCCGGGCTGCGCCGGGCTGACCTGCCCGCCCGGCCCGGCCCCGCGCGCTCCATTCCAAAGGGGTCCCTCATTCCCACGCTAAGTTGGTTTGCAGACAGCAGGTATTATGTGGGTCCGCAGCATTTGATTTGGGTACAATTCGACGCGCGGTATGGTGTCCTTGGTTTCTCTCTGCGACGATTTACTTACTCACACTTCAAAAAGTATCTGATGTAGTTAAGTTAGTTGTTTTTTAAACGAAGATTCGAATCGCACAAGCAAATAAAGAACGACACTGGAAAAACAAAGGTGTGACATCCAACCTTTCCAGGGGTGTAAAACTCGTTTTAGGGGTGCTAAAGAGTATATTTTCAGTTTCTTCAAAATATTATCTATATGAGCAAACCAACAAAACAAAACGACAAATTCTGCATGATTAAAATCACTTAAATGGTTTCAATTTTTGTTGGAACAGAGGCGCAGTGTCCCACATTCTCAAAACTGAGCAAAGTGCATATTTAGATAACAGAACTACCCTTCGGAACTACTAGTACTAGGTATGCATGCCTATTGTTGAATGGAAATGCAACAAGGACATACTTCGTATCAAAACAAAAAGGAAATGACTTGGTCCTAGTAACATCTAAGACCATTACGTCAGGAATTAAAGATGTGACGTTGTTTCCTTCCAAACATAGAACCCCTCAAAAATGACTGAGGTGTAGCAGCTGGAGTAGAAGACGGCACTGTTTTATTACAGAGAGCATGCGTGACAAACCCCATGCTTCTCGTAGTTCCTTTGGATTAAGTCGGTGAGTCGTAATAACCTAAAGTAAAAGAAAGAGAAACAACTAGTAAAAGAGCAAAGTTAACCACCATACAGAAAAGTGCATACAATAAAGACTAACCTGTGGGTTTCCCAGAAAACATGTCGACCGGTGCAGCTAGATTGTCCGACCTATTTTTCTCCGACCTGGCGATTTTACCAAAATCCCAAAAAGTACTGTCCGACCTAAGTTTTGTCCGACCTATTTTTTTCCGACCTATTTTTCTCCTACCTCGTCGATATGCTGAAATTTGGGAAGAATGTTCTTTAAAGACGAACAAGGCTTCAGAGGCCATGAAGGGGTACTTTAAGTGCAGTGAGGGAAAGACCGCGACTTTGACGGAGTGCAGCCCCACGTCACAGAACAGTCAAAAGTCCGCTCGGCGCCGTAAATGCTCAAACCCAACTCCCCCCATCTGGTAAAAAAAAAGGGGGGGGTGGTTAGCTTGACTCCTCGCCAGAAAGGTAAAGAAGATCTACTGGAGAGTCCCCTAATTTTTTTTGTATGATTTTTTTAAAATTGATTTAGTGAAACTAGTTTTAAAACGGGGCAAGAAAAGATTTATCTTGCTTTGATACAGAGAAATAAAAAAGAAACACACAAAAAA